CAACCAGGGCAGCAAAGACAAGGAAAAGGTGAAAGGACAGACAGCTCTAGCAGCATAAAGGGTGGCCTATTAAACAAAAGGCCACGCTCAAATCTGCCTCCCTGTCTTCTGGCATCTTCTTGAAACATGCTGTTGGTATTCACCTCGCTGGACTCTTCACCACATGTTAAACTTAAACGTTAAAGATTTTTTATTGTGATAATGTTAAATTGCTGCTTTCAATTAGAAAAAAAGCACAAGTATGGTGCCAAACACATGGTGTGTCATAGAAGCCGTGAGACTAACCACAGGTGGGGAGGACTTAAAGCGAGCCTTCACCAGAGGAGGTAATCATGAATAAACCATCACACTCTGCTTCATGAACATGGTTGAGGCTTTTTAGCATTGCTTCTACAACACAGGGCTGTTTTCACCAACTGGTGAGAAAAATGGGTGAAAAGGGGGCGATTCGATTTGTTTTCTTTTTCGAGTTCAAAATTTATAGTCTGTTGTTTGTCAGCTGGTGATCAAACCAGAGACAATGAAAAAATGCAAGCAGATATCTACATGCTAATGAAGAAGAAACGTGTCCTGCAATGTAATGTCTTGATGAAATCAGCTGGTTTTCCTTAAGTAGAAAACTTATAATCTCTCACTATATGATCTGATAGAATTATTTCTGTAAATTGAATTCATGTGTTGTGAATTTGAGGTTTTTGAATAAACTGAATTGAAAATTTATTTGAAACAGTCATAGAATTCATTTGATCCTTTAACCAGTGCCGGCTGGCCAAATGGGGTGCTAGGGCGCTACCCCACCAGCCCAATGACCTTGATTAAGACATGAAAAAAAAAAGATTAAAATTAAATTATAAATTTATATTTTATACTTCATTTTAAAGAATATGTTTCGAAATATATTGATATATCTTTTTTTGATGTGCAAGATAAAAATGTAATCTTTAATGACAAGTAAAGCACCATTTCTTTTTTTGTCAGATTGGTGACCTATTTCCGCCCTAGGGTGCAAAAATGTTTGTCAATTGGCTCTCTTAAAAGTTGTACATGCGCAGGAGCTCCTGTGCAACACAGCTGTATAGGACGGCTCGGGGCACAGCTGAGCTGCGACCTGGAACTGTTGTCTCAGTTGTTGTGTTGGTCATTGACAGGCCGAGGTGTGGGAGGGAAGCAAACTTACCAGTAGAAGCTAGGGGTGAAACCGTTTGGACCTGATCAGCCAAACATCCAAATTAATCAACATTCTGAAAGACAGATGGAGAAGGTACACTCTGTCTTCTTCAAGGATCTGGTTTAGTTACAAGGCTTGGCTAACTGCATGCAGCGAGGCTAAGGCTTTATTCTGCTGCCTTGGCTGCCTGCCTCCTTTTTCAAATGTCAGGATCTGACCCAGCATGGATAAAGGCATGTAGGACTGACAAAAAAATTATAAACCTGTCTAATAGCTTGTAAATTATTCACTGGAAAAAAAATTTTTAGGTTTGTAAAACAATATTGGACTTCAAAAAGCCTTGGGAGAGCAAGATTTTTGTACAAAAAGTAAACCTGTAGATGATATTTTGTTTTTATAATGCTTTTTGTTGCTGGCATTTATATAAATATACTGATGTGATAACTTAGGGTACGTTTGATTGGTATATGTCTATTTTCAATTTATAGAAATAAAATTGGTTCATTACTTCACCATCTGTTGCATTCCCAGAAATAAACTGCAGTAATAAAATTTCTGCTGCTTATTTTATTTGGAACTAAATGTATTAAGTGTTTTTATCACTGCTAATTGGTCGTACAGTACGGGTGACAGAGTTTAGGTTATAATAGTGCACTACCTTTTCAGCCACTGATCAATCAGCAAGCAAAGCTTGCATTGAGCTGATAATGAAATGATATCAATAAATTCAACAAACTTTTTATCCTTACAAATTTTGCTCCATTTTACAAGCGGAGTAGCCATATTGGATACTGGACCCGGGGTTGCATCCTGTCTCTTTTCCATGCAAAAATCAGATTACGAGAACTCATCTTTTATTTTCAAATTAAGGTATCTTGTCCATAATGGAAAATTATAATAGGTGATAGCAGGACAATGTTCTTGTAAAAAATGATAAACAGTAATAAATAAGTGTCTGTTTGACCAAAAACTAAGACAATTATGTATCAGAATACAAATAAAATGCAACATTAATTATTTTATAGATGGCTTACATTTCAGTAGAAATTACATTTAGAAAATAAAACATTTCTTAACTCTTGCATTACATATGCAAAAAAAAAACTGATAAGCAAAGATAAGTACTTGCAATGAATTTTAACATATATGAATGCTTAGGAAAATATTTAATTATATAAAAATACTTGTTAGCATCCAAGAAGACAGGGTGCAAAGAATCTGAAATTAATTATTTGCATAACTATAGAAAAGCAGCTCACATTAACTGTGTCGAAATCTATAACACTAATTACAAGATTGCTTGTCTAATCTCTTTCTCTGCCAATATGAGTGATTGAGTACGAAGCAAACCACGAGCAGAGGAAGAATGTGTTTACAAATCATCACACTGTAGAGAAACCCTGATCATCCACATTCTCAGAGAAAGCTTAATTAAAGCTGCTGGTGTTATTCCTTTGTGATCTTATCCAATTGTTCCTTATCTTTCTGTTTACCAGCAACCCAGATAAGGAGATGCATTCAATCTCTCCTAAATCTGAGACCCCCCGGGTCTTCTTTTGTATTTCCTTTATCGTGCCCATTCTAGTTCAAAATTCTGCTTGTTTTAGGCCATGAAATAATGTTTGCCAGCTCGCACAAATGCATGTTATAAAACCACATACACACACTTAAAAGCACATGTTTTTCCTCTCACACGCAAACATAAGCATACATCCACTGAACCAATCATTTAGGGTCTCTGAGGTCTCGATAAGCTTCTGTAAATCAGCCACCATCCAACAGCCAGTTTTATTCCCCCCTCTCACAGTGGGTGTTGGGTTATGACCTGTAGGTAGGAGGTTATTTATTGCCTTTGTCTCAGCCTGTGTTGACTGCCGGCCATCCATCTACAGTGCTGGGGTAATAGAAAGCAGCAAAGGATTGCAGATCTCCAGAAGCTAGAGAGATTTTTAGCTCGATACTCTCCTCAGAGGCTTGTTTCTTAATGTCTCTTAATTTCTACTTTTTCGGTAATGGCTGAACGGAAATGAAGCCAAGTGGACCTAAGGTGGAAGAATCCCTATCAATAAGTCTAACTGTTAATAGACAGTAGAGAAAGGAAGCTTAAACAGATAAAAGATGCCCAGAGACCATAAATATTTCCCACAGGCTGCTGCAAGTAGTGGAGGGCCTGCAGCATCCTTCTTATTCCAGTATGAATTCACTGTGAATCTCACTTCTCTGTTATATAAGTCATAGCTCTTAAGTGGGAAACAGTAAAAATCTTCCAATAAAAAGTTCAAATGATCAATTATTTAGTGAAAGTGGACTTTTAACAGATTTCTTCATCTTTAATCAGCACGGCCACTAAGATGTCTAAATAGGAATGCTAAATAGGAAAAAAAAAACTTTCTGGTAATCATCCAGCATCTTTTTTGTAGTTCATAAACTCATTATCGTCGACTGCAAATGGTTGAAACCTGAACTGACAAAAACCACAACCAGCCCACCAGCTGTTTCAGTTCTTTTAAGAGTAGCTGACAGTTAAAAAGAACAACCCCCAACCGGGGATAAGTGTAGGAGTCCTTGAGTGATGACAGCACGGGTAAGATCGAGAGCTGTGATGCAATGAAGACAAGGCCACTGACTGATCGCATAAAAGAGGCGCGATGTGTGCCTTCTCAAGTTCACATCCATTTCTCAGATGCACATCACCAACAGCTGATAGATGAAACCTGAGGAAGTGTCATCATGTTGTTTTGAGAATCTATTTCCAGAATTAAGTCAGAAAGTTTGTGTTTTCACAGAGCAGTTGTATCAAGCAGAGTATGTGCAACATCATAACCATCCTGATGACATCCTAAACCTATCATGTACATTAACTTCAGCTTTGTTCTTTGTTGTTCAAATGCTTAATGTGCAGTCAATGGAAAAAGGGAGCATTCCTAACTTAAAGGAACAGTTGAAAATTAAAAAATAATGCACCCTCTACAATCAGTGACATGAAATAATTCTAAAAAAATAAATACTAAGATTTTAGGAACATAGGATTTCATAAAGTTTGTGTTCCGGACTCAGAGCATCATTGATCCTCAACCGGAATTTACAGTGAATGTAAGAAGCTTCTCCTGATATCCCTCCTTTGTATCACAGAGAAAACAAATTGTAACTCACTCATCCTTAATTATTAGATTTAAGTTAATAGAACAGAAAAAAGATGTAATGTTATCCGAAAAAAACAATAATTCTCACTTAAAAATTCTCATCTACATTAAAGTTAATCTACTTTACTGTGGAGAAAAGCGCTGTCGTATCATATTTTTTAAACTAGAAAAACTCTGCAAAGAAATTAAACCTTTAAGGACTTTACATATATCTCTACAAGGGCTGACAAGAAATGTAGATGGTATTGTATAGTGGAACATTTTGTTTAGTGAGCCTAAGACCATAAAAAGACCAAAATCTATGAAGCATGTTTTCATACCTTTTCCTTCTTCTAACTTAGAGCATATTTGTGTCCATTTAACAGCAATAAAAACTCTGACCGTGCAAGTTTAAAGAAAAAGAAGAACAACAACAAGTGACTAGCTTAATTAACGTTTGTTTATCATTTTCAGATGGTCCTTGATGGGTTCAGATTAGGTTTTAAGGGATTGATTCTGAATATTGTCAGATCTATCTACATCAGAGGTCTATGATGAAGAAACTTGTTAGTTATCTTTGTCTATAGGGAAATACTTCAAAAATAGGCAAATCTGGGTTTCAGAAATGCAGGCATGTCATAATATTGTAACTGCTTGACCTTTTTATAAAAAGAATCTATGTTTTTTTATTATTTTCTTTTAAAACCAACCTCTTTACAATGTTGGTTCCATTCCAGCAGGGCACCCCGTCACCAGACGAAAGCTCCTGCAGACACATGTGATCTGCCAGGCCACCGTAGAAAGTGCTGAATGCACGAAGGTTCTTCAGAAAGTCCCTTAAAAAAAAGGTAGCCACATGAGAGCAGGCCTATTTTTTATTTCTTACATCCAGAACAAAAAACTGAAAATGACAGCTTGCTGTAATTTCTGTGTGTTTATCCAACATCCACCTACTTTCTCATGACAGACAGTGAATCTTCTGATCTCCTGTTCAGGGCTTTGAGCGGGATGGAGACCCTGGTGTTTGTGTCCTGGATGCTGAACGACTGCGCGGGCGTCCTGATTGGTGGGCTGCACAGTTTGTGAACCTAATGCACAATAAAACAGCCACAAATTGAATTTCATAACACTAAGCGAATAGTGTGTATTTTAAGAATTTTATAATCTTGTTATATATTACTTATGCCTCACAAATAATATGTGTTTTGGATTGCTGAGTAAGAAATATTTGGGTTTGGAACATTAGTGCTGTCTTCTCTAGTTTCTGTCAATTACTGACAATGTGCCTGCCAAACAGCAGCCTATCATATTATCCACTAGATAGAGCTGTTGCATCCAAAGTAGTGAATAGCAACAGTGTAGTTTAAGAACAAAATGGGTCTTTAGAGTCTGTTTGTGAATGGATCAACAGATGATAAATTTAGGTCTAGTTTCTCTCTGCAGATTAAGTCCTCTACTATCTGTAGGTTTTTAATTGCCTTGCAGCTGCCCAAGCGGATATATTTTCTTCCCCAATCTAGCTGTTTTGTATAGAAATGTGCCATTTAAAGCAATGTATCTTTAAAATAAACCACTGTTCCTCTCTGCCGTGGAGCAAAAAGCTGTAATTCCAGCAGATTTTAAAATAAAACTGCTCCATCATGCCAGTGTGAAGCACTCTATATTTTGTTTATCCTTTCAGGCCTGCAGGTGACAGTGTTTTCGCCTCCTGTACAGAGCTACAGGATAGATTCAAATCGAGCATCAAAATCAATAATACATTTCTGCTCATGATCCAGACCTGTGCCAAGAGGCGAGCTCCATTCTTCTGAGCCTGCCTGATAGCATCATGAAGCATTGTGTGAGCTCCGAGAAGCACTTGCTCCAAATCCTGAGCTCCATGCATCCTAGCTGACAGTCCCTCCAGTGAGCGAACAAACTCCCTCCAGTGAGCGTCGATCTCCGCCATGCTCGCCAGACACCCCCGCATGATGTTGAGGCAGTAGCCCATGCAGGGCTTGGAATGTGTTATGCCCTGTGAAGGGAAGTGCTCTGAGATTAGTGCTGCCGGTAAAAACGCTTCATTAACTCGGATCAATGCACTTACATCACTGCACCCATACCTGACAGTGAGGACAGTATTGCATCTTGAGCAGGGCCCGTTTGCATTCACGGCTCAGCTGTAAGTGGTCTGTGGTATTAATGACCTCGATGCCAAGGTGCAGAGCCTGCAGTAGTAGCTTCCCAGAGACCCCAGAGGTAGCAATCTGATCAGCGAGGAGGCTCGGAGCTGCACCAAACGGTTTGATAATGCGGTTAAGTGACCTCACACACTCATCATGGCCTGGTGATGGGTTACTGCCTCCTGGGTTTATATAGTTATTGTAGACCAGTGGGAGGAGTGCGTCGAAAAAGCGTTGCACAAACTCATCAACGTTGAGCTCGGAACCCAGCAGGAAGAGACTCACATCGGTGAAGAGTTCCCTCACTGAGGCAGCAGCAGCATCAGCTATTTTCTGATAAGACACCTGGATGACTTTGTTGGTGTGATTCTCGGCCTGCCTCATCAGAACCTCAAAGGTCTCTGCGGAATACAGAACAGTACATTAAAAAAAATCAAAATACAGAGATAAAACATGATGAGATGCTGCAGCTAGTTTTCACATATCATCTTCAGCATCGGGCCATCTTGGCGGCATGTGAAAATTTTATGAAAAAAAAAGAGAAGCACTAAAGTTCAAAAGAAAAAAGAAGTGAGGAGACCCCACGACTCCCAGCAGGGGCTGCAGCTCCCTGAGTTTTTTTTTATTTATTTCCATAAGGAGCTGGTATGTAGCTAAGCAATTTGTCCTCCATCCAAAATCCATAATTCTGCTGACATAGAAAAAAGAAAGTGAAACTTTAAAGAACAGAGAACTGTGATGATTTTGATGACTTTTAGAGCAGTAAGTGAAAAGATGCAACATTTAGAGTAGCATCCAAAGAGAGAAACATGTAAAAACAGAGAACAGAAAAAACATAAGGGTTTGGCATTGGCATGGTATCAGAATCAAAGTGTAACAAAGCTTAAAAAGTTACGGCCTATAGTTTTCTGCCATACTGTCCTGCAATTTAAAGTAATAAGAAATAGAAAGTCCTTGAGAGAGCAGAGGTTTTGGGGTTTTCTGTCTGTAGGTTATTGGAAATATTCCAGACATATTTAAAAAAAAAAAATTAAGTAGATTTAACAATCAGTCTTATTAGGATACAGCTGTTTAAGCTAGGCGGTGAAAAACCTGACTGCTAACTGATAGTCCAATCAATTCAACTACTAATGTTAGCTCATCATATTACCACTGGTACTCTATAAAGGCCAGGGTGTCCATAAGGAGCAATGCTCTGCATAATAAGCATGCAAATATTACTGTTAAATTTCGTAGGCTTTTATTTTATAGTTTTATATACTTGAGTTTGTATATAAAAGGTGAAAATAACACTCAAATGTATTGTAAATGGGAACAAATAATCATTACAAGAATTGTTTTAAATTAAGACATATACTAGAATTGACAATGTGATGAGGGCTTAGACAGCCAAATGCTGTATAACGTGCACCCATGTGAAAGGAAAAGCCAGACGAGGGCCACCACAAGGGGAAAAAGGGGAGGGTTCTGGAAGACCTGCAGGTGCAACTTCTCATCTTGTGCCTTTAAACTTGGAGGTATTAAGAACTGGGTCTTATCGCAGCCCCTCTGCGATCTCATCCCCATGTGTTATGTCTAACAAGATCTGAGACTGGGAGAAGTGTCTTTGTCTGCAAAAAAAAAAAAAGAAAAGAAACCAATACCTCATACACCACAAAGCTTGTGGTCAGAGAGAAAAGCAAATATCAGAGAGACAATCTGCAAAAGAAAAGAGAGAAAAGCAAGACAATCTGCCCGTGTGTGCGTTGATGAAACAGAGTGCAGCCTCAGTCATGGCAGATAAACAGAGAGACATAATATGAGCTCCTAGAGATGATGAGATTATTATGGACCTTAGGTATATGATGCTGAGCATCACATGTTTCAGGAGAGGGTAGTTAACAATATATTATAAATGTAATGGGTCCCATCTGTCCTCTCTTTCCTTCTGAGAACAGCAATCTAGTAATTCATTTACCGAGATAGGGTCTCATGTAGCCTCCTGTAACTGGGTCCTTAAAAATATGATACATGTTTAAAGAAAAAGCATCAATCAATCATTTAATTGGTTGATTAATTAATATTAATTATTTATTTTAAACACTACTTGCATTTAAAAAAGGGGCGGAAATCCAATGATTACTAAAACAAATACTGTTATATTCAAAAAGGCTACTTATTAAAATTATTATTTTTTTTTTTTTCCACGGGGAAGGATGCTGACTTAAAAAAATATCAAGAAGAAATTCAGAGTGATGTGTCCAAGAGTATGTATAGATAATCTAGTGGAAAGAAAAAGTGTGTTGGGAGAAGGTCCAAACCACCAGGACAATGTATAACCATAACCTTCAGAAGATTGTACACTAAAATACATTCTACACTTTGGAATGAATTTCATAAAGGATGGACTGAGGCTTAAGTCAGTGCATTATGAGATACTGCACACAGACGAACTCCATCATGAACAAGATACAACATCAGTACCAACCTTCCTGGCTAAGGAGAAAAATATTTGGACTGTTGCTCAATGGTACTTATTTCTCTGTTGAGAGGAGGAAGTTTGAACTTCTGAGGTCCAAGAGTTTTCTTAGGTCCAAAGTAAATGCATCAGAAAGTTCTAGAGCTCTTCATGCTTCCTTCTGCTGCTGATTTCATTTTTCCAGCCGGACTTGACACCTGCCCACATTGTTAACTACCAAAAGTGTGAGGTGTTACTGTGTTTGACTTGCCAGAGAACCTGCCTGACCAGAACCTCATAGAGAGGTGCTGAAGAAGAGAGACACCAGAATTTACAATGCAGATGGCAGATATCAAAATGACCTGGTATTGCACTGCACCTCAGCTGATCCACAGACACGCAACACTGTAATGAGGAAATGCACAAACATTTTAGAAGTCTCAGTCTTTTTAGCTGTTCCCTTATTCATGAGTCGCCACAGCAAGTCATTGCAACTTGCTTACAGGCTCAGCTGAGTTTTTATGCTAGATGCCCTTCTTGGCTGCCTGCATTACAGCTAATGACTTAAACCACTGAAATTATTACACAGTGTAATAATATTACTTTGTGAGAAAAAGAAATTGCAGGTTTTCACTCCAAGTATCCCGTAATGATCACAATCAAAACATAAAGAGTTCAAAACATGGCCACCCTTAGCCAATCAGTGGCCACCCCTGTGGCCACCCATACCATTTTACCCCTGTAATACAGATGGTGGTAGCAGTATTACTCTCAAGTGGAATATTCAAAACATTTAAATTTTTTGTGGTTAATTATACACATCAATAAACTAACATCAAGGATGATAAGTACAGAATTCATTCTCTTTTCAGAACTAGATTTTGTGTTACATGAGGTAAAGAGAAAATGATGTGCCTCTGCAAGTCATCTAGGAGTCTTCAGTGAAATCATAGATAAATAACTATTTTAATAAAAACCTATCAAATGATCAGTTTATTTAGATATTAGTACTTGTAAATATCAATTTTATGCAGAATGTTTATTGATAAAAGTAGGTGAGTAATGACAATGGAAAAGATTTGCGCCCCAGAACTCAAAACTGAAAAAAACAGAGTTTTATCCACTATACCTTTTATATAGAAATTATGTCTATTTGTTAGCTAAGGCTGTAGGAAAGTATGGTTTGCCTTTATTTAGAAAATATGGATGTTTTGCTTGTTAATTTTCCTGTTGGAACAGTGTAGATTGACCCTGAGGTTCTGGTGCCTATCCGCTTTCGGCCCCCACTCAATGAACATTGGTTATTGCCTGGCCACCCTTATAAACACTTTCTGGTTACGCTTCTGCCTGAAGGACAGCTGCTAATTTACATTCATATGCAGGAAATTATCCATTAACAGTTGTACAAAGGTACTACAACTAAATAAATTTTTAGAATGATAGGAAGACAAATGTTTATATGGACAGATGACAAGATTTAACAGCTTTTTTAATTCAAAACATCAAATTATAACACCAAAACTGTGTTTTTGTCAGCATACATTGTGTAGTGCATTCTTAGAACCTGCATTAATTACTCTACTTTAAACTCTCTCAGCTATCACTATTGATAACTTCTTTATGAGGAAGATGGGGCATCAGCTTCAATCAAAGTCAATCTTGCTTATTTACAGTGTTTAAAAATGTATCAAAAGCTAACCATGACGCTTTCCAAGGTCATTTAAAAGTAGAAAAAAGCAAGAAAAAAAATGTCAAATTAATACAATTACAAAAAAGTATAAAAAAAAAAAAAAAAAAAAAAAAAAAAACACAGTTCGGAACATGCAGATTGTGGATATATTCAGTGTCACTGACCTAACTGATAAGAAAGAAATGTTTTTGCCTCTGGTATGTGAAGGAATGGTGAGAGGAGGAAGAAATTCCTGCAAGGTTTGTTAAAGTTTTACTAAAGGGGTTGATTTTCTTAATTTAACAGCCAGTTTCAAGCCCACAATACTTTTTAAAAACCTTTAATTATTTGCACATTTGGATAGACAGACAACTTTCTTTTATATGAAAAAAAGTATTTCATGTAGTATATATACAATATATATCAGAATGTTTATTTTGTACCAAACAAAGATACTGATATTTCCAAGATATACTGTGGATCAAACTGCAAATATTTCTCCTACTTTGGCTGCCAACCGCCAAAAAATCCTAAAATTTAGCAATTTCTTATAAATACATTTCACTTTGTTAATAATAATGTGTTATGTGTCGTATTATAATGTGTCGAAGAGGCCTTTGTTTGCAGCAATGCTTCCACAAATTTTACTTCTTAACTGAGGAAAATTATACACTGCTAAAAGTTACTTCTACCACAAGAGGGCGACACAGTTCACTTTTTTCCAAAGAGATTGGATCTGAGGAGAAAGGTGTCCCTAAAGCTACATGATCCTCAGCTGAAATCCTGAGGAAGGTTTTACAGGTTAAAAAAAAAAAGACAACTACGTACTCCTCCTCCCTCTGTATTGATTTCTATGTGTTTCCTTTGAAAACCAAAGCATGACTTTAATCACAGCTCATTAACACTAGAATGCTTGTATTAGGATCAGAATAGATACACCTTTTCACATTGGCAGTGAAACTCATTTACATAGGACACGTTCTTTACAAATCCCACAGGATTTGCTGTAGCTGCAAATCCTTAAACGACAACTGGCTTAACAGGCGTTTGCGTTTGCATTGCTCATATATATATTTGTATTCATAAGTGTGTCAGAGAGGAAGAGGATCAGTCGGCAGGAAGAGAAGCAAGACAAGTCTTTGTAGTTCAAGAGTCTTTTGACATAGACAAAAGAGCAAAAAAGCTCCTGCTCTCACACGCTCACTCTGAATAAGCATGGCTGACACAGTGAATGCACTTAACTGAGATACATCCCTAAAAGCAGGCTGAAATGCATGAACAGAACACATCAGCAT